TCATTATAGTGACCCTCGCCATGCTTGTTATGAGCTTCAACGCTTTAAGGCTAAATAATTAGCTGATGATCTATGAAGATCCATGAGAGTGGAGGAGAGATAGACTTTTTGACTAGCCTCTCAATCCCCCCCCCCCCCCCCCCCCCCCCTTCTTTCATGTTGATCATGTCTATTTATAAGCTTAGGGGCATTATGGAGTGAGTTAATAGATTTTAACTCCTCTTAAAATAAGGAAGTTAGTGGTCATTGACTCACATTTAAATGGGTGAGTTAATAGTCATTAACTCTCCTTAAATGGGTGAGTTATTAGTCATTAACCCTCCTTAAATATAGCCTCTAAAAATGGTGACAAACGAGGTTCGACTATGCACGATGTTCGTCAATAATGGCAACGAAAAACTTTATCTTCAATGACGAACTCCATTTCTGGACGAACTTCATCTTCAATGACGAACTTTGTCTTCTGAGGGGTGAGGCACTATTTGACGAGGTTCGTTTGCAAATGGACTTCGTCTCTTGGATGAACTTCATTTCCTAGAGGAGTTTTATCCTCAGTGACGAGCTTCGAACCTCGCCTCCAATGACGAGCCTTATTTTCAGTGACGAGTTTCATTTTCAATGGTGAGCTTCATTGGCTGAGATGAGGTTCATCATCATGACGAGCCTCGTCATGCTTGTAGCGAGGTTCAACCTTACTTTATTTCTTGGCATTTTTAGTACCTACATCTGTCTAATTGTCTTTCAAACTCAGTAATAAATACCTCTAAGGCATTTACTGATTGAGATTTCTCATGCAACAAATAGACATACCCATAATGTGAAAAATCATCAATAAAAGTGATGAAATACTTTTCTCCACCAAAAGATGGAACATCAAAGGGACCACATATATCAGTGTGTATAATTTCAAGGAGTTGTGTGCTTATTGTGGCCTTCTTCTTGATTGTGTGTTTTGTTGGTTTTCCTTAATATAATCCACACAAATACCAAGATCAGTAAAATCCAAATCAGAAACCCAACATGTTTTCTCAAAAAAGAAAGAGACCTCACGGTGGGCGCCAAACTATTAATGTACTAGTGATCACATAGTCAGTTATATCCATGGTTGGATGATGTTATTAAGTATTGATGAGAGGCCACTTTTCCCCCCGACTTTATGTCTATTTTTTGAGTGGGTTGGTGAATCTGCACAAGTAGAAACTCGTGAGAGGACGGGTTTGGCTCCCCCGTGGTTCATCCGACGATCAAGTTAGCTGATGAACTTGAGTGGAAAAAGGTAAAGAACTGTGTGAGCTCTTGTATGTGCAGTATCACTGCTTAAAGATCAGATTTGTGAACCCCCATTAAGATAGAATAGTATCTCTATTTATACCTAGGGTATAAGGGTAAATTTATCACTTCGGCCGAGCACAGGAGGGCGGTGGCAAAGTGTGGGCTGACAGATGAGTCAGCACCTATTTTACAAGTGTCAGATGGTGACTGGATGAGTGATCAGCTCGACATTAACTAGAAAGTGATTGGAGGCATGATGGTACATGCGTGGTCCGATGAGTCATGAAGGCTATCGGGGCTTGAGGCATGATGCGCCTGCCATGCATTAAATGTGATGCAGACATGTTTCCAGTGGAAGAGCCTCGAGGCATAAGTTATCCGTTAACTTCATCGAGAAGTAACATCTTTTGAGTCGTCTTCACGAGGTGTCCAGTATCTAGTCGAGTGGGCTCGTGGCAAGTCGTCTTCAACAGAAGGGGCGATAAGTACTACCTTTCGAGTCGATAGGAGGGAATGTGGACTCGACAAGTCGACTGAGTTGTCGTCCCTACTAGTCTCTGGCCACCAACTTGATTGGGTCATAGAATACAATACACATGTCCTTTGCTTGGCCATGGGTTGCTTTTTGGCGAATGGGAACACCATAACAGATTGTTTTGTTGTAACTTTTTCCACACAGGAAGACTTTCTATGAGCGAAAAATGTTCAAATCCTCTTTAAGCTTTTTTATTTATGCTTTAATCATCCATTTTCAACTTTTATTTTTTAGCTAGAAATACCAAACACGTTGCAAGTACTTGTCACTTAAGCACCCATCAATAATTTAGAAAGTAAGTTGTGCTGATTTATTATCATTTAGCATCCATGAATTTCCACAATTACAAGGGGAAATTGTGGATAATACCCCTTTTTCTTGAAGGCCAGTGTTTATGTCAGAAAAATGATATGTGGTTTAAGGGGGTTAAACTTGATTTTGGGGTTCCTTAATCGTCTTTGATGGTTGATTCTCTCGCTAGGGGGCTTGACCTGTAATTTCCTATGCAGATAATAGAGATTAGAGGCCTCGGAGGTCATTTTCTCCGGCATGCTCTCCGACACTCAAGTCAGTGACTATTCTATTAATCGGAAGTGAAAAATAGAATGTAGTCTTGTTGACTTTTTGTGTGTAGAATTGCCTATCTTAGTGTAGTTGACGTTGTCACTACTTATAAAGGGTTTACGGGGAATGTTGGTAGTTTTGGTCGAGTTTGTGCAGTGATGATTTAGACCATGCTTTACACGTGTCGATAGCCGATTGGACGAGTCGTCACTGTAACAGTGATGAGACTATTGGAGTAATGACGTGTTCGAGGAGCTTTGAACGCTCCAGCTCGAGTGATCATAATGGCTCTGACATTGTATTAATGTTGGTGGCAACTGGGCGGCGCAATTTAGGCATTGACTATTCATGCATTAAATACGATGAGACTTTTGATGACGCTTGGCAAACTGTTCCACCAATCAAGACACGCTATATTGGGTCCAAGTGGAGAGCGCATTTCGTCTTGGAGTTTGACATCCAGCAGATCCCGTGTTGGAAGCGCTTTTCGTCTCAGATTCGGATCATGAGACAAGTAAGTTGGTTCATCATCCGGGTCAACTTGCAGACACTATGGGAGTCACCCAGTTAGTTGCTACACGTGGGTGTTTTTCAAGGTTCCATTAGACTTGGTGATTTCTAGGATATAACATCTAGGAAGGCCAATAAATTGGAACAGTAAAGTGATACAAGACATTCTGATGAGAAATATACATGTGGCTTACCCATACAATAAATAGAATTTCTAAGATAAACGAGAACAAAAAATTTAAGTTGTTAAATATAACCTTATTTTTCAAATTCGTCAGACTCAAATTTGCTCCATCTGTAGTTTGAAGTCTCCCAAATTCATAATTTAAGATCATACTAATCCTTTTTGCGAATGTAAAATTTGCATCCGGGTTGGAACATAGTTAGGTTAAATCTGAATAATATATGAATAAAATTGGGATCCACTTGGAGCATGTCTGACAATATACTTATAAGTAACTAATTTTTACTTATAAATATATATTTACTTACAAGTTAGCAAAATCATCTTTGGTGAGGGTTCACTTATCTACTTATTTTTAACTTATAAGTAGCGAAAAAAAGCTGGGAGATCCCAACTTATTTTTTGGCTACTTATAAGTAGTTTTACTTATTTACGTCAAAAGACCATAATACCCTTCATACATTTTTACTAATATTAGTTATTAATAAGGTTTTTTACATCAAAACCACATTTACTTTTACCCCAATTGATACTTACCACGTTTAAATTTTTTTTTTATGTAAACTACATTTACTTGCTAACATATTTGCAATGTCATGCTTAATCCAGTTTCCAACCAAAAATATGCGAAATAACCGTTTTACCCTCACTATTTTCTTGTTTTTTTATCCCATTCCTCACAAACCCTAACCCTCACTCTAACCCTAACCTCATCATCCTCCTATTCTCCTCATCTTCCCTCTCCCTCCTCCCCCAACCCCCCCCCCCCTTCCTCCCTCCCTCCTCCTCCTCAACCTCCCACTCTCCCATTCCTTCCCAAATGGAAATTAGGATTAGTGTTAGGGTTTGGCGGAGGTGGCGGCCATGAGTTAGGGTTAGAGTTTTGAGGGAGGTGGCGGCCATGAGTTAGGATTATAGGTTTAGGGTTTGTAGAAGAGGATGATGGAGGAGGTTAGAGTTAGGGTTAGGGTTAGGAGTTGGAAGGAAGAAGATGGTGGTAAAATGAGAACATTTAATTTTTCATGGGTAAACAGTAAAAAAAAGTGCGACGTTGCTAACACATTAGCAAATAAATGTGGTTTACATAAATTTTTTTAAAGGTGATAAGTATCAATTTGGATAAAAAGTAAATGTGGTTTTGATGTAAAAACCCTACTAAAAACCATAAATAATGTGATATTTAAAATATATTTTAAATAAATATTTTCTTATTATAAAATAATAATTATTATGAGGTAACAAAAAAAAGTGGCTGCCAAACATGCTCTCGCAGCGTTAATTGAAATTACGCGAGGCAACTGACGCCCTGCCTCTACGGGGCTGTTTGTTTCGTTTCCCCCAGAATCCAAAACCCACTTTCCTTCACTTTTTCACTTTCTCCCACTTTTCAAAACCCACTTTCCTTCACTTTCTCCATTTTCCTCCAATAATATTGTGACAACTCATCCCATCACATCTCATTTCATACTTTTAAAAATAAACAAAACACAAGAAATGAGTCACATCAATCAACTCATCTAACTCAATTTCCCTCATTTTTCTTCATTTTCTATCATCTTTAAAAATTACTCACATCATCCAATAATATGGTGACAACTCATCACATCTCATTAAAATTTCCTTCCATCCCTATTCACCAAAAAAACAAGAAAATTGATTTTCCTAAGTATGTGTCACATCATCCAATAATATAATGATAATTCACCTCATCTCATCTATTTTCCCCCACTTTTAAGAATGAATCAAACACAAGAAAAGAACCTAAACAAGAAAAGTGAAGAAAAACATCAAAAATTACTCATATCAACCAATAATATGGTAACAACTCATTTTCTCCCCCACTTTCGGTTATAGCTTTGACGGACCAAACATCTAGAAGTCAAGGAAAACATCAAAATTCACCTTCTTTTTCCCCACTTTCGGTCTTTTTTTTCGAAACAAACAGGCCCTACGTGGCGGCTCCTCGCTCTCTGCACTGCGTCTCTCTCTCTCTCTCGTCTCTCGACACTCTTTTTGCCTTTCACTCAAGAAACGGATCTCTCTCTAAACCGAGTAGCAGCGAATGAGATCGAATCGTGCAGAAGAAGAAAGATTCTCTCATGTCGAATGCATCATTGCTGAAGTTCCTCAACCGCTCTCGTCGAAATCTCACCTCTCAATGTAATTCTCCTTCCTCCCAATCTTACTCACCTTCTTCTGAAATTGGATTCTGTGACGATTTCTTGATCAATTTCTCATTTGTTTTTTTTTTGCTTGATTTTTTAGGTTTAGGTTCCGGCAATGGCGGCGGTTATTCGGTGTGTATGTGGGGCGTTGAGATTAGAGGAGTGAACAGAATTCACAAACCCTATTTTCGACGGTTAGTCGGTCACTTTCCTTGGTTTTTCTTGTCCGCGACGTGTTCGATGAAATGCTCGACCTAAACTTAACGCTGAAAGCTGATGAAGGGATCACCTTAGACGTTTAGATAAGACTTTCGCAGAATCAAGAAACGCTACATTTTTTTTAATTGTCTGCCAAGTGTTTGATGAAATGCTCGACCTAAGCTTAAGGCTGAAAATTGATTAGGATATTGCTTTGTTTTGATTGTTTGCTGAAGGAAGGCTGTAGGAAAATAACAGTGCATCTTTCAATTTATTCTCTAGGGCATTGCTGATCAGTTGAGTAGAATGAAATAGTGAATACTTATCTTCAAAATGAAACGACTAGGATAATTTTTTTCATCTTGTTTATTTGGTAACGCTTGAAAGAAGAAATCAGGAGAAAAAAATTTCTGGTGATTGAGGCTACAATTTCATTTATTTCCCGCTTTAACATGTTTCAGGTTCATGTTTTAGCTATTACCTATTAAGTAATTAGGTGCATGCCATCTAATATGAGCAAAGTAAAAGCAAAAGATATCACGAAAAGTTCTTGGCTATACCATCACTTTAACCTTGTGAACTGTTAGTTTCGGTAAAAGATAACAATTTAAATTTTGTTGCAGAGATAGCAAAGTGGACCGAGAAGTAGTGTTTGTTTCTCTTGCATCTCTATGTTCCACCATTGCTTTGCATTTAACTCAAACCTTAAATTTGGTCGATAATGTAGATTTTCTACCGGATATACTAGTGTCCATGGTGAAAGGCCTTCTTCGGAGTATGCAAAACGCAGGAAGGAATCCCTAGAGACCGAGTTCGGACAAATACTGGGAACATATAGGTCAAAGACCTTATTTGCTTACCATCGCTTTGGTCCCTTCTTGGCTTTGTACAGAGCGGCAATTATTTCATATGAAGTTGCTAAATTGACCATATGGCATTTCTTTGTCCAAGACATTCATACACGAGCAATCAAGGTATTGACATTCTCAAGTTCTGTTATGATTAGAGTGTGTTTTTCTTTCACTAGCATCCCTACTTTTGTGCTGGGTCGTGGATGTAGATTATGCCCTTACAATGTGAGATGACTTGAAACATCCATTTGTTGAGCATATACTGGGTTTCTCTTCTTCCTTTTTTTTCCCTCTGAAGTGGAGACATCAGTTATTACCGCAATGATTCATTTCTATTGTTTTGGAGTTCTCATGAAAAAATATTAATGTGTGGTCGATCAAACTTGATTGTGTGGTAGTGGTACCCTCACAGGGCAAGGTGAACTTGAACGTTGATAATAAGAGATGAAACATCTGCTGGCAGAGGGAATTGAAGTTCACTTGAAGTGATGGCTGTGTTAAAAGAGTCAACACCTCCTCTAGAGATTTCTTCTTCTACTAGATTCTCCAAGTCTCTCCCTCCTTAGAGATTTCTTCTAGAAGACTCTTGACTCTTGAAATCTCTTCCTCTCTCATGGTTGCTCTCCCTCCCTTCTTGTCATTTATCTTTCTATCTAGAATATTCTCTTCATGTTATCCTTGACATGTTTCTAGAAGTTTCATTAGCCAACCTCCTACTGGTGTAGATAGGGGTTATGTCTGTCCAATTTTATCCATCTCAAAAACACACAAGTCCTCAAGTGCCTTGTGAGTGTGAGTGTGTAGATGTCATCCGGCGAATATTTTTTTAAAGAAAAATTAAGAGTGGTGCTAGTATCCATCACAGGAGAAATTATATTTGGGTAGGCTAATCTCCCCTTGACAAAGCCGTTTCACCAATCTCAAAGCAAGCAGAGCAATCGCTAAACATTTCTTTTCTGCCATATATACTAATATCACTTTGATGATCAAAAAGGCGCGTTGCATGTTTCAAGGAATTTATTTCTTCTTGTTACTTACCCTTATTAAAAGAAATTCTTGAGTAATAGAAAACAAAAATATTAACATTAAAAATGGCCAAAATCATGCGTTATAGCTCATAAAATCTGAAGTTTGCCCTCTGGGAAATTATTTGCCTATAGACCGAAACCACGAAATTGTAGAGAAGAAAAGTATTTTCTCGGTCAATGTTCATTATATTTGTAACATATTACGAAATTTAAGGAGAAGTAGAAAGAGATGGGATCTCGGGTCTTCGGGCTATGTTATGGTGCCCTCCTTCCTTGTTTAAAACAAAAGTGTAGAGAACCTTGTTGTCTCATGTACGCTCTAAAACTTTCTTTCTTTTGAATTTCTGTCATTATTTCTCTGTGTCATTTTATGTGTCTGTCTCTCTCTATTCCTTGAATGAGAAATGATCAGGCTATTCATAGGGTAGGTGAGGGGTAAGTTGTTGGTTGGTGTTGCAATTTGATTGGCAGGGAAGTTATGGTAACTTCCTTGTCAAAACTGTTACCTTAATCTCTTATTACAAATGAATTATTGTACTTCTAGTTTTCATATATCACATGCGCTTATCACAGGTGAGGGTATATGTGCCCTCTTATTTGAGTTGTAGTGAAGGTATGTCTGTCTCCACTGAAATGGTAGTTGAGTTGTCATAGTAACATATTATTAAAGAGCATTAAACTCTTGAACTACACTTATTTGACTGATGCATGAATTATTTTTGGTGTCTACAGAGTAAGAGTGTCGTTGTGAGCTAGAATGCTCTCCTTTGTGAGTGCTAGAGTGAAATTTATATTGCGTGAGTGCTAGTAATACTTGTATCTTGTACAAGTCTTGTTCACATATCAATAAAAGTTATATTTTTGGGCTTTCACCACCTCTGATATCGAACATGCAGTTGGGTCCCTATACCACTTGCAACATATGATCTCTCTAAATCTCCCTTTATTATCATCAAATTTTAATGTGAATCACTATGCGTTGTATTAACTCCATTTCCCTCTTGATTCAGAATCAATTTCTATTCAATAACCGCCCAAATCAGATGATTTAACTGCTTATATAATGCACTCCATGTACACTTTCATATTTTCAGTGGGAACTTTCAATTTCAACATAACTTTGTTGTAAAGTTCACTCCATATACTTTTTATTTTTTTATATTTTCAGTGGGAACTTTCAATTTCAACATAACTTTGTTATATAAAGTTTAGTTTTTCTAGGTCATTGAAATCTCAGTGGACACATTTAACTTGCTACGCCTAGACTAGCCCAAGAACACACAAAAGTGCACACCACAAAGAACAAAATCACTAAGATTTCTTGACCTACATTATATTATATATGACTTTGGTCCTAGATAACTACTTTTTCTATAACCAAATCTCAGAGTTAAGCCAACGACTGCTGGTCTTGGATCAATTAAATTGTTTTTATGCTAAATGGAATGCTAACAGTTGAGCTTATTTTGTTATGAATATATAAGCAAATTCTTAATGCATGTGATGACCCTTCATTCAGTGGAGAATCCTTGTTAACTGCTTGGTTATTCTAGTTTTAAGTTCCATCTAAATGTTCAACATTTTGTATCTAAGAATATAGACTGATCAATTTTACATTTGTTTTTTGACCTTTCAGTTTCGGGAGACTTTAATTCGCTTAGGGCCCTTCTATATCAAGGTAAGAAAAGTGCAACTAATATTCATATTATGTAAATTAGTCTAAATGATTGTTTATGAATTCAGTATTGAGGGAAGTATTTTGTTTCGTAGGTTTCCTTCAACAGAATTGAGTAGAAGAGTGAGATTCATGTAGCTGACCCTAACATTTTTGGATAAAGGCTCTTGTGTTGTTGTTATGGTAGTTTTTTGTGCAAATTACCCCAAAGTTCAGGGGCGTGTTATGAACTTTACCCTGAGTTTAATAATACGTGTATCTATGTTAATTGAGTTATATACCAGTAAAAATATATACTGAATGATTATGATCTAGATATTCCAAAAATCATGCAGATGAATAATTGCTTGGATTTGAACGTTTCTAGCCTAATCTCTCTTGATCTAAAAATGAAGTCCATAAGGGTCTTAAAGGGCAATGATTTTGATTCCTTTTGTACAATAGTAAGTCCAGCTTTCTAATCCTCTCAGGTTTTATAATGTGTAGATCATAATGAATGTTTCAAATGCTCAAGTGTGAATCATCAAGTGTTTCCTAGGTGTCTATAAAAACTCTTATGTCACACCCATGTGTAATATAATGTTTCCTACGTATATATTTATATTTATGCATGTAAAGAAAGGTGTTTTGTGAATCCAACATTTGTTTGTCAGTTTTTCCTTTTCTTAACAATACAACAAACATTGCAACTTAGTTTATAACACCAACCAGCCTAAATAGTTATATGGCATTGGTGGTTGTGCATTTTGAATGGTTGTTGCATGCTTTTTCTCATTTGTTGTTTCTATCTCTGAGCCCAGACTCAGCAGTTGTACCAAGATAACTAACTCAATTAACGGTCAATTAATTTTTCATACTAAAATACATACTTTTTATCCTTTACAGCTTGGGCAGGCACTGAGTACGAGACCTGATATATTACCCAAAGTATACTGTCAGGAGCTCTCCAGGTTGCAGGTAATTAATGCGCCAGCTGAATATAGATATTAAGGCAGCAGAGACAAGTATTTACTTGTGCCGTATGAAAAATGGGTGTCATTCAGGGTTTCTTCTCAATGCTGCTACCAATAAAACTCCCTTGCACTACCATAGAAATTGAACAATATTGATTTAGTGCATTGGGCACTAGGATCATGCTGGGTTAAATGCTTAAATGTTAAATTTGTGTTCAAAATGCATTGCAGTCCAAGTGATTAAAATAGAAAGAATGTCTGTGGTCACATTGTTAGTAGCATTAAATTATGTGACAGTCAGATCTGCTTTTTATGTTTTAATGGAGATAATAGTTCATTTTATGCCTATCTTCTTCTTGCTTGTAAATGTTAAATTTTTTTTTAGGATCAAATACCACCATTTTCAACTCGTGTTGCTATGAAGTCCATTGAGTCTCAATTGGGTGCTCCAATTGCTAAACTATTTTCTGATATTAGTCCCAAACCCATTGCAGCAGCATCCTTGGGCCAAGTATATAAAGGTGAGAAATCTACTGTTATTGGAATACCATGTTTTAATTTCATTGCTTCGAAGGGAAGTTTTAATCCTGTGTTCTTGCGCTTTATTCTAGGCATTTAAGGATTGTATTCAAATTTTCTGCTTTAAAATCTTTCTTTTGATATTTCAAGTCATGCAGCTCATCTACATTCGGGCGAGGTCGTCGCTGTTAAAGTACAGAGGCCTGGAATGCCACTGTTGCTGACTCTTGATGCTTTGCTATTTCATATGATTGGAGGCCAATTGAAGCGATTTGCCAAGGCTCGAAAAGATCTATTTGTTGCTGTGAATGAGATGGTGAGATGAGTGTCTCTATCTTTTATCAAACTTGTCTTCAGTTTTGCCAGTCAATAATACTTTCTTCTAGTTGATTGTTTCTTGTGCAACTAAGAACTAACAACGGCATATAATATGTAGTGCTCTGTGTCTGACTGGTGTTTCTCACCTCCAATTGTTATTTACAATCATATGGATTGTTTTCTATTCAAATCAATGTTATAGTAGGCGCTAGGCACCGACCGGGTCTGGCGCCTAGCACCTAGGCAGGCCCAGGTGGATTTTTTTGGGGATCTTTTTTTAATAATATTTAACCGAAGGTGGAGGAGATTTGCTGAAGGTTAGGAGGTGTTTGGGGATGGTGGAGGATGCATTGGAGGTAGGAGGACGTGGAGGCGACAACTGAGGAAATCATACCACAACCTAAGCTTTGCAGTCCACATAATGGCCCATGCTTTCCTAGGCACTCCCAAGACCATGCGGGTGGCCTAATTTCTGCCTAGGCTTAGGCGGGAGTCTAGACCACTTTTTAAAACTGTGATTCAGATGAACTTGGATGTTATACTATTATAGTTATTATTTAGATCTTGAATGTATAATCATGGTGATAAGACCTCCATAGTTCATAGAAACATCCAGTGCGTCTAACTAGGATGCAGTATCCTAGCCTAGAATTAGGACTGCTTGAATTGCCAGCAGATAAGTCAAAATATCGAGACAAAGAGCAACAAAGGAGGAGAAAGATACAAAAACAGTACAGGGTAATTGGCAGGGGCTTAAAATTTTTCATGTTTGGAGTAGGTGAACTGGGTATAAGAAAGGAAAGTTGATGCTTGCAAATGGAGCAGCAACTATTTACTGTCAGCATTGCTTTATAGCCCATTTGCACCGTAAAACTCGATTGCTGCAGTTCACGTCGATCCTCAAGAGGATTGGAATGCATATGTGAATTTTTCTCTTACCTATGTTCATTACAAGAGGATTGGAATGCATTTCATTTGCAATTTGGCTTTAGAGAAGAAAGAAAATGCTTTAACAAGTGAAGATGCATTAGGAGAACAGTAATAGAAAAGGCAGAAAAGAAATGGAAGGAGAAAGCTTTGATATTAGTGAAGTCTCCCTCCCTCCCTCTCCAAATAAAGGATAAAATCATCATAGTTTTTCTTCTGTTCACCAATGTCCAAAAAGGACTAGTTTAGCCATGTAGATTATTAGATAACAAGACCTCATTTTTAAATCTGAAGAAGATATAAAGAGGAGCCAAGGAACTCCACACAAGGGTTCTAGTATTGAGAGATTCATGTTAAGAGGAACAGGGAGAAGGGTTATTACTACATTGTGAGCTCTAGTTGCTGTCTTTCTAAGTCCTCGTTCCAAAACTTCCGTTAAGGTTGTATTATGCTATTTGATGATCACATTGATCAGACATCATGTTTCCTTGGTAAAATAAGTTCATTCAAACTTGCCCCATAGCTGCTTTATCATGCAAAGTGACTGGAAAGATTCTACGAGAACAGGTTTGGTCATAGAATTGAATACTTGGTCACACTGGAGTCCAACCATAAAGTATATACTGGGCGAAAGGAAGCGGTGCATCTTCCAGTGAAACTTATGTACGAAATTAATGAGATGAGATATTTATTCACTTTGAACTCTGATGCATTAATATGTATGTATGTATGCATGCATGCATGCATGTAATTAATTAATTAATTAATACAACTATCTGCTGCATATCGCATTTCTGTGTTATATTGAAAATTACTTACTTCTGTTCATGCTTATAATTTTTGAAATGAATAGCTCAGGCACATGTTTGAGGAAATCGATTATATTCTCGAGGCACAAAATGCTGAAAGATTTGGTTCACTCTATTCTTCCGCAAGTAAGTGTTTTTAAACTATGTCTCCATTGAATGTACCATGATATATATTTATGGCTCTTTTTGTATTCTTTGGACCTACTAGCTTATTAGACCAGACAAATTCCAAGTCATCTTCAATTTCCTGTACTACTTTCTTCCACATTTTATGGCTTTAATGTTGAATACTTTACTGGTTTCTTTTTTCTAGAAAAGTTGACTAAAAAAGAAAAATTGACAGAACTAGCTCTATCAAGCTTATAGAATTGTGTTGGCTAGACATATTCCATTTTTTGGTATCACTCTCATGCTATCCTTATTTGGTTGTTGTCTTTCATGATTCCTTCATGGTTGTATTTTCAGTTATGTTTCATGTAATTGTTGACTATTCATACGCAAAACCTATTTGGTAGTTCATTAGCTAGCAGTTAACAGAAATTTTTGTTGAGATGATCAATGTTGCTTAATAGGTTCTAATAACGACATCCACAGAAGAGTCTCGATTATCAAGGTTCCAAAGATATATTGGAATTTCACACAACAAGCTGTTCTCACAATGGAGTGGATAGATGGGATAAAACTCACGGATGCAGAAGGAATTAGTGAAGCTTCTTTAAATCGGAAGGAATTAATTGATGAGGTATGTGTTTGATTCGTGCAAGCCTACTTATGCTAAATTTCATCCTTGGTGTGCAATGGCCTGTGCCTCCTGGTGCATATTTCTATGCTTGTTAGCAGTAAAAGTCTTCTTCTTCTTCAAATATCATGAGTTATCTTGTCCAAAGGAAATACGTGGTGGCCAGGTATTTTATAATGAATTTCTGGAAATCAAACAATTTAGTGGAAAGAACATCACAGCTATCATAAAACAATCTAGCATCTTTCCAAAATGCTCAGGTCTCGGCTATAGCTAAAACTTCCCAACTCTTCAAAGAATGTATATAAAACTTCCCACGGCTATACAATATATTAATATGCAGTTCAATCTAGTCGGGAAGAGTGCCACATCAGCATCACTAGCTGCCCAAACCATTTCCCAATGTATATAGGCATCTATACACATTCAACTTTTCATATGAAAAACTGATATGACCTATCTATAAATTCCTCACTTTTATGGACTGTTAATGTTACTAGTAAAGTGAGGATTGAATTTGATCATCTTGAATAAATATGGACTACAAGACAATTCAAACTTGTGTTCACTCCATGGAACATTGCTGAATCTTTTCTATTTCAGGGTCTGTATTGCTCACTTAGGCAACTCCTTGAGGAAGGGTTCTTTCACGCTGATCCACATCCTGGAAATCTTGTTGCTTGTGGTGATGGTTGTCTTGCATACTTTGACTTTGGTATGATGGGAGATATTCCCCGCCATTTCCGTGTTGGACTTATCCAAGTGGTGAGCTCCCTTGCATCATAATCTGTTAGAATACTAATTTGACATTTTTTCTCTCTCGTTTCATACTGCTGTATGTTGTTCTGTTAGTGTTTCTAATATTGTTCTAACTAATACATGCTTCATTGCTTGTTTTTTTCTTGTTTGTTCACTTTATACACGTTAGTAGGTGTAAATTAAGCAAATATCGGAGGATATTGGTGCAACTGTATCAATATTTGTTTCCTTCTTGCACCTATGGACATGAACACAGATGTTGCCAGGAGAGAGAACTCAATATCCATCTTTGATGAAAAGGAACTTGGACTCAGATGAGATCTATTATAGTACTGTGATTGTTCTATAGTAGCATTTTTGGGTGTGGAAATACTAGCTGATTGAACTGCTGATAAATATGTCAGTTAATCATATTTCTATAGAAACTGAAAGGAACTCTATATCTACTCTTCGTTGCTTAAGTTAGTTCTGCTTTCTAGTTCATTACTTATTTTTGTACACAGTAACTATTAATCTAGATGTGGTTCAGTTTGGGTAATTCTGTATAGTTAAAGTTATCATTGCAAATATTTGTCTAGATTGTTCCGAGTTGGGAGAAGTTGCGAGCTTGCTTCTTGGTTCCATGAGGCTGAATGATCAAAAAATTAATTCACCTATGTGATTACATATCACAAGAAACTGTAGCACAGTATTCCATGCCTCATGCCTCTTTGTCTATAAATCCACCAATAATTCAAGATTGGTGATTTTCTGTGTACCTTTCTTAATTTTCTTGCTGATGTCCTTGTTTTCTGGGTCAAGCCTTGGACCATAATGATGGTGTAGATGTCCTATTGTATTGCAGAAGCCTGTTGTAATCCAATAGTGCTAATTTATATTGCATGTTTTTATACTGTAGTAATTTAGCTTATACCTACTTATTCCAGCTTGTTCACTATGTCAACCGTGACTCGTCGGGTTTAGCAAATGACTTTCTCTCTTTGGGATTTATTCCTGATGGGACAGATGTTCAGTTAGTTGCAGATGCATTGCGTGCTTCCTTTGGCAGTGATACAAGGCAATCAAATGATTTCCAGGTTCTTTTCTATACTTTTCACTTGTCATATGGGATAAATCTAGGAACTTACAAACGCAAAAAGCTTTATACGTAATGCGATATCTATAATAGATTTTTTCTAGAGAAAGTTTCTAGTACTTTTCTAACCATCGTGGATGCTAAATTAATTGCAGTGGTGTTGAGATAAGACTTTCTTTAATATGAAGATGATGTTGAAGCACATTTAGGAAATAAAAAATGGGATATATCCAGGAACTTACAAACGCAAAAAGCTTTATACATAATGCAATATTGATAATAGATTTTTAGGAAATAAAAAAACCATGTGAAATAATTCTAACCCATGTGAAAAACAAGTTTCACAATTTTTTATTTTTCTTTGTATTTTTGAGGTCACCTGCAGGTTTGCAGCTAAATTAAAATAACAAATTAATATTATGGATGTCTTGTATGATTTCTACTCTTTATTTTATATTTTTAGGTAATAAATGATCAAAATATTTTACCTTTTCCAGAATTTCGTTGCAGGGAATAATGAACCAGTTATATGATGTTATGTATGATTTTAATTTCTCCCTGCCTCCGGACTACGCTTTGGTAATAAGAGCACTGGGGTCTTTAGAAGGGACTGCAAAAGCACTGGATCCGGATTTCAAAGTAATTGAAAGTGCATATCCATTTGTCATTGGGAGGTTGCTTGCAGATCCGAACCCTGATATGAGGAAAATATTGAGGGAGCTTCTTATACATAATGATGGCTCAATTCGGTGGAATCGACTTGAACGTCTGGTATGTGTTGATTGCCTTGACTGTTTCCATCCAAACATAGTTTCATGTAATACTCTTTCATACCACAAGAGTAAAAATTCACACATGATACTTTTCGCAGCCTTTAGGATAATAGTTCTTGATTATTTAGATCTTTTTAACTTGTCCAGCTTATGCAAATTTGGTATATATGCATAATAATTTAAAGGGTTAAAGGCCAATTTGGTCCCTGTACTGGAGCTTCATTTTCAAATTGGTCGTACTTTCTTTTTTCTTCCTAACTCCTTTTCTTTAACATCTATTAAAATTTAGGTGTCAAGTTTTCGTTTATGACCACATTACCCTCAATGACATATTAACCTTGATGATACGACAATATAAGTAGTTGTATTTTGAAAACCCTTTTAAAAAAAATTATTTTACATTTTTAAAAACAAATTATTGAATAAAACTTGTGGCCAGGCCCAAGTGATTGTAGAGGATGGTAGGGTAGCGTGAGGGAGGCCTATGAGTACATAATTGCAAATGCAGGTCTAACAAATTCCACCATTTTTATAAGTGAGCCTGATGACAATTTTATAACTCCAACATCATCTTTTCAAACACTGAAACATATATAGGAATTAACATAATCATCACCTAACGGAATAGCTAATTTTAATATTCCTCTAGTGGAAATGTATTTACTAGATCTTCATTTGTTTCCTTAAATCAGCATCCTTAAACCTTTATCAAGCTTGTGGATATTAAGACTACTCAATTGATTAGGCTCAACTTGAAGTTGTAGGATCTGTGTTGCTTACATTGTCCATCTAGAAAAATTTTGGTTTTAGGATCTTTTAATTGAATTAAGTGAGACTACGTAAATGAATTTATAGATTGTGAATTTTGGATATACTTCAAGCCTTCTCACCTCTCAATTCTGTAAGTTATCAATGCCAGTAAGCAAACTATATTACTGAAGAGTACATTCACTTGCATTAATAACTTGCATAATTTATAAGAGAGAAGCTTGAAGCATTAGAATCTATGAAGTATTGAACCAAAAGAATATATCATTACCCACAATTCCGACTCCAGACTACATATTTATGACAAGGAAACACTGAAAGTTAAAGCACAAAATATTGATGACAAGTCCGGTGGCTTCGGTTCGATGAGTTCCCAATTTCTTAATCGAGCGTCTTTGATGGAGCATGTGAACTTGATAACAAGCCTCCCATTCACTATATTGTTACTATTTTTTGTTATTCCCTATGGATACATTAGGGCAGTACCATCCTTTCAACATCTATTTACAGAATTTTTAGCAGAAAGGTTAAAAAAGGACTAAGTTTTCATTTAATAAGGGGTACAAGACTAAGTTGAGATGAAAGGAAAGTACGGGGACCAATTTGAGAATGAAGCTCCAGCAGGGACTAAGTTGGCGTTTAACCCTAATTTAAAATACTTGTCTTTTGATTTTTATGAATTTTAACTGACTTAAATAAACTTAGATGAAGTGGATTATTAAAATGGATGTTCCGACTCAATTTCAAGTGCTCTATATCTTTCTTCTTTTTTCCTTTCTTTCCCCCATTTATGCAGTAATAGACAATATAAATTAGGATGTTTCTTGGTTTTATGGTTTAAAAACATTGATAAAAATCAGTTACAAGTACTTCACAGATGATCATTGGTCTTCATTTCAAATCTTAGATCTAAGCAACATGCTATCGTCAACCGTTCATTTTTTGCATAGGTAGAAAAACTTTGAAAATTGGTGATTAACTGCTCATTGTATCTCCATTGGACTGGATCAGGCGTGGCCATATGCTTGCCTTAGTTTGCATTTTTCCTATAAATATCTTCTCATTTCTTGCCATCAATTTCCAATTTTGCTACGTAGCTTCTTCTGCTCCATCCCCATCCTTTTCTTTTTATAATGCACATTGACAAATATTTCTGATACCAACTTACTTTCTTTTCAGATAGCAGCTATTTCTGAACAATCATCTGAGCTCGCAGATGAAATTCCTAATACATCTACAAGTAAGGCTTCTGCCAATGTCCCGAAATGGAAGTCATTTGACATGCGATCTGTGGTCGCATCAACAGAAGACCTGCTACGTTTCATTTTATCGGAGAAAGGTCGGAGGGTGCGAGTTTTTCTCGTTCAAGATATTCTCAAGGCTTTGGATGCCTTTTTGCAAGAGGAAGCTTTTACATGCATTTTTGAAGAACCAGCACAGAGATCAAACCTTGAGGTAAATGTTTAAAAAAGCCACTAATTTACCTTTATCTGTCTTGGAATCAACTAAGAATCTTTTGATAACTTGATGAATAATTTCAATGTTGGTAAAGGTTTATGATTATGGTAACATTGCTGACAGGAATCTGGATATTTATATTTCCATTTCCGAAGTTG